TTTTATTCTAAAATTTTCGGGGCGTTACAATCTCCCCTACTTAAAAGAATTTCGTCCTCGAAATTTACCTTGGTTAAACGAAGAGTTCTGGATACTTGGTTTTAAGCTCATCTTCTTTCTCCCAAGTTGGCTCATCGGGTTCATGATTTTACCATTGGACCTTGACCAGGGGAACTTCTCTATTTCTTAGCCGATGCACTTTTCTATCCAAAATCATCGTTGGAATTTCTTCATATGACACGTTCAATGTTTGATAACTTATTACCTGATTGGGGTCATGAACATATTTTTTGAGCATCGATATATGAAACACGTTATGCACTGCTGCAAGTTCAGGTGGTAAGGCAAGTTGGTAAGCTACAACACTAATCCTTTCAAGGATCTCGAAAGGTCCTATAAATCGCGGTCTCAACTTTCCCTTCTTGCCAAATCTCAATACACCTTTCATGGGTGCCATTTTAAGGAAAACTTTGTCGCCCACACTAAATTCCAAATCCTTTCTCCTACGATCTACATAATTTTTCTGTCGGTCTTGTGCTGTCTTTATTCTAGCTCTAATTTTGTCAACTGCCCCAACTGTTCGTTCAATAATTTCAGGACCCAAAATTCTACTCTCTCCAACCTCATCCCAATGGATAGGGGATCTGCACTTCCTACCATAAAGAGCTTCATATGGGGCCATACCTATAGTGGCCTGAAAACTATTGTTGTAAGCAAACTCCACTAAAGGCAAGTGTGTCTCCCAACTACCTCCAAGATCCAAAACACATGCCTTCAACATATCTTCCAGAGTTTGGATGGGTCTTTCTGATTGTCCATCCGTCTGAGGATGATAAGCAGTGCTAAACTTCAGTTTCGTCCCCATGGCTATCTGCAAACTCTTCCAAAATTTAGACGTGAACCTCGGATCTCCATCTGAAACAATAGTGATTGGAACTCCATGCAATCTAACTATCTCTTTGATGTATGGCTGTGCAAACTGTTCCATGTTGAAGTTTACCTTGATTGGTAGAAAATGGGCCGACTTCGTCAAACGATCAACCACTACCTAAATAGCATTGTGACCTTTTGCTGTCCTTGGAAGGCCTACCACAAAGTTCATCGTTATGTGTTCCCACTTCCATTCTGGAATATTCAAAGGTTTCAATAGTCCTGATGGCCTTTGGTGTTCTGCCTTGACCTGTTGACAGATAATACATTTTTCAATGAACTGACCAATTCCTCTCTTCATATTCCTCCACCAAAATGTATCTCGGAGATCTCGATACATTTTCTTACCACCTGGATGTGCTGAATATGGGGTAGAGTGAGCCTCTTCCAGTATCTCATTTCTTATACTTTCATCTTTAGGCACACATAACCTTCCTTTGAAAGTCAGCGCATTATCTGCAGACATTTCAAATCCCATTCGGTTGTTCGTGCCAACCTTAGCCTTTATCTTTTGTAGAGATGGATCCTTAATTTGTGCTTCCTTGATTCCGTCCCGAAGAGTAGGCCGAATCATAAACGCTCTTACTATTGCTGTAGTCTGAGTTAGTGGCGTGATAACTTCCAATCTCAATTTCTCAAAGTCCCTTATCAAGTTTTTCTGCACTGTGGGTAGAACTGCTAATTGTGGTCCTTTTTTTTTTTTTTTTTTTGCTTAGGGCATCTGCAACTATGTTAGCCTTTCCTGGATGGTAATGAATCGTGCAGTCGTAATCTTTCACTAGCTCCAACCATCTCCTTTATCTCATATTCAGTTCCTTTTGTGTGAAGAAGTATTTAAGACTCTTGTGGTCGTATAAATTTCACACTTCCCACCATAGAGATAATGACGCCATATCTTTAAGGCATGAACTACCGCTGCAAGCTCCAAGTCGTGCGTTTGATAGTTTTGTTCATATTGCTTCAACTATCTCGAGGCATAAGCAACCACCTTTCTATGCTGCATCAGTACACAACCCAAACCCTGCTTGGAGGCATCGCTGTAGATCACAAATTCCCCTGAACCTTCAGGTATGGAGCTAAAACTAGTCTCTGTTTGAGTTCTTGAAAACATTTTTCACATTTTTCTGTCCACTGAAACTTCGCACCTTTTCTTGTTAAATGAGTCATCGGTCCTGCTATCCTTGAGAAGCCTTCAATGAATCTTCTATAATAGCCAGACAATCCCAAGAAACTGCAGACTTCACCCACAATGGTCAGCCTTGGCCAATTTGTTACTGCTTCCACTTTAGCAGGGTCTACTTCGATTCCTTGGGCGGTAACCACGTGACCAAGAAAACCTACGCAATCAAGCCAAAATTCGTACTTCTTGAATTTGGCATATAATTTCTCCTTTCTCAAAGTTTTGAGTACTATTGGAAGTTGTTCCTCATGCTGCTTCTTATCCTTTGAGTACACAAGTATGTCGTCAATAAATACTATGACAAATTTGTCTAAGTATTGATGAAATACTCTATTCATGAGATCCATAAATACAGCTGGAGCATTGGTCAAACTAAAAGGCATGACAGTAAATTCATAATGCCCATAACGAGTCCTGAAAGCAGTTTTCGGTATATCACTTGCCTTGATCTTCAGCTGATGATACCCCGACCTTAAGTCGATCTTCGAAAACACCATTGCACCCCTTAACTGGTCAAATAAATCTTCTATTCTTGGCAATGGATATCTATTTTTTTATAGTTAAATGGTTCAATTCTCGATAGTCAATGCACATCCTCATACTCCCGTCCTTTTTCTTCACAAAAAGCACTAGAGTGCCCCAAGGAGATATGCTTGGTCGAATGAAACCTTTTTCCAGCAACTCTTCTAATTGTAGCTTCAATTCTTGGAGTTCTTTTGGTGCCATTCGGTACGGGGCCTTAGACACTAGTGCCACTCCGGGAACTAAGTCAATTGTGAATTCCACTTGCCTATCTTGTGGAATACCTGGTAGGTCTTCTGGGAATACGTCTGCAAAGTCTCGCACAACATTAATATCTTTGACGGTTGTTTCTGTATGTTTGGGTCCATTAATATTAACTAGGAATCCATGGCATGACTCCTTTCTCAGCATCTTCTCCGCTTGTAAGGCAGACACCAGACGTGGTAGAGTCTTGGACTTTGCTCCAAAGAAATGAAACTCTTCTTCTCCTGCCTTATGAAATAACACTTCCTTCTTATGACATCGAATTGTCGCATGATTGAGTCCCAACCAGTCCATGCCTAAAATTACATCGAAATCTTTCATCTCCAAAAGGTATAAGTCCGCCATTAGTATATTTCCATCAATCTCTAACTTTGTAGCCCTAGTCATCTCATTTGTAGAAAGAGTTTTTCCTGAAGGAATGCTAACCTCTAATGCATTATCCATTTTCACACATACAATGCCAGACTTAATAACGAATGATGTAGAGATAAAAGAATTTGTAGCCCCAGAGTTAAAAAGTACATAGGCGGGTATATCAGATAATAACAAAATACCTGTTTGTTTGTTTTTTTTTTTAAAGAATTTTGATGTCAGACTTTGTAATGGAGAATGAAAAATCAAGAACATAAATAGGTACTTCAAATAATAAAATACTTGCTATCACGTTCGGATCTTGCTCCGCCTCATGCTGATTTAGTGCAAAAACTCGAGCCTTCCCTTTCTTATTCTTGTCCTGGTCATCATTCTTCTTTCGTGGAGGCTCTGTACAATTCAAGGAGATATGCCCCGGCTTACCACATCGGAAACATATGTTCTTCCCAAATAAGCATTTGCCCCTATGTGATTTATTACACTTAGGACAAGGTGTAACAGTCCCATTTGTCCCACCAATGTAAACTCCTGTGCTTGGTCTTTTATTCAGCCAGTTACGCCTATCCTTGCTCTGATCATTCCACTTCCTTTTCCCCCATGACTCCTTGCCCTGCTGGGAATATTGTTCAAATGTATTCCTTTGATATGAAATAGCATGAGCCCTCTCCAACATTTCTTAGTATAAAGTGAAACAGTGAGACATAATGATCATACCGATTTCTGGTCATAGTCCATTTTTGAACCTCCTGATCTTTTTAACTTCCGTATCCACTAAGTCCGGGGCATACCTTGAGAGTTGTTCCAACTGCCTCTCATAATCAGTAAGTGATAATTTTCCCTGTCTAAGCTGTAGGAACTCTGATTCTTTGAAATCTCTCAAGGCCTGTGGGAAGTACTTTGCCATCACTTCATCTTTAAACTGCTCCCAAGTTAGGTCACGCTGCTGCTCTTCAGTCCTAGTGCATGAGACAGATTCCCACCAGTGACTGGCTGCTCCAACAAACATGAATTCTATGCATAGTACCTTTTGTGCGTCCGTACAAGCAATATGTCGAAAGATGCGCTCCAAACCTCTAATCCACTCCTCAACAGCTAGTAGGTCGGAACCACCATTAAAAGTCAGAGGCTTGTGCCTACGAAACTGCTCAACCATTGAGATGGCTCCAGGGACAAATGAAGGTGCACTCTGTGGTGGCAGTGCTTGGCTCTGCCTGCTCAAATCTTGTACCGCTTGCAATAATTCGCGTACCAAATTTGTATGGGTAGGTGGGGCCATTTCCTAAATATTTAAGTTACTCATCACACACCAATACTAAATCTAACATCTATACCTTTCTATCATAAATTTAGTGAGTCAACAAATAGCATGACTCGAAATTTAAAAGTAGGTAATTTAATATATTTAAATTATGCAAAAAATTTAAATAAATGCATTTTTCTTACCCCTTTACATACCTTAGAGTCGTCGGATGGTGGTCATTGAGTGTCAAAATCTCTTTCAAATTCTTATATATTTTAGAACCTTTAAAAGTGTTTACAAATCTTTAAATTTATCTCCAAAAAAATTTATAACAAGTTGGAAAACCTAATGCTACCCTGACTCATTGAATAAGGAAAAAAAAGCCAAAGGCAGTAGATGAAAGGCATAGACATGATAATATAAAAATATCAATATAACATATTGTGTTCAAAGAATTACAGTTTACAACTTACCATCACTGTTCACGTTGGATATTTTTTATTTATTTATTTTTTTAAGTCAGTGTAAACACCAGTGTTAAAATATAAAATTTGAATCCAACATAAAAATAGACGTCATTAGCTAAACAGGTATCAATCATTTTAATAGTTATTAAAATAATAATTTTCTATTATTACACGATTTAGTAAAATTATAAAACATGCATAATTATGCCGTACAAATATACACAACTACATATATACTTACACACATATGCCTCATATGACATCACATGCAATGCACACATATTTATCGTACGTACCAACTTCATGTATACAAAATCAATTGATACAAAACATATCTATGCATTTGCACACATGCAGACAATGAAAGCTTGCCTTAGGAGTTGGGATAGTATAAAATCATTATTTTAATGTTAATCAATTGAAATGAATGATTGCTTTTGAATTCAACAATTCAATAAAATAATATTAAACATCTCACACTTTATTCAACTTAACAAAGGACAAACACAAACGTGGGAAAATAATATGGAAGGTGTAATACATGGTACACGGGAGAATGGGTAGTCAGATTGCAAATGGAATAATAGTTATA